CTAGTCATCACCGCCAACTCTTGGGCTACTCTTTTACCAACGAATAATGGGATTGACCGTCACATTATAACGCCCCCACGGCTGAAAAGGCGACCTGCAATGGACAAATTAAGAAGAATATGGGTCCCCCCCTTTGGGACAGCGGTTAGTTTACGGACTTACAATGCTAAAATTTGGTGTTATATTCCCTGCAGTGGACATAGAATACAGTTCAATGTGTCTTTGTCCTAAAACAAACAAGAAGAATATAGAAAAAAAACAAAAACATCAACAATTCATCACAAAACTTAAGCCTATATAGTTTCCAATGTTTCGCCATCTTTCAGCATTTAATCCATAACTTTTAAAGATGTAAATATGTTTTACATGCAAAATTAATGCATTGGATCATTATCATAGTTGAAAACACTTACAATATTTTATATTTAAACCACATTTTAAACTTACTAACAATGAAATGTTCAGAACAGACTTTAATGTCGGTTTATTATAGTTTTTGATACTGCATTATTTATCTAGTTTCTTAGTGATTTTTAAGAAATGAAAGAGTGGATATAATAATAGTAGTCCAACCATGCCATGCTTATTGTATTCCAGCTGGTGTGATGAGCTCTGGATTGAGCAAAATGCAACTACGGTAATAGATATGGCAAACATAGTATGATTGAACTACTGTTACCATACGCTCTTATAATTATTGAATATCCCTAAAGGAGTATACAAAGAATACGATGTTAAAAATATATTAGGCTTAACACTAATATATGATGACAAGCATAATTAATTATAATCATACTTCGTCAGCTGGGAAAAGACGTTCACATCGTAACAAGGGTTAATATCAGCAATAAAAGAGAAACTAAAAATTGATTTTGTAAATGAATGTATGAATATAGAAAACAATAAAAATGAAGATCGTCAAATAATTAAATAAAAATAATAATGCAGGGAAATGCTTCTAAAAAGGGAAAAATTTCACCAAGGTAAAGTTGAATACGTTAAACAAGAGTAAAATACATCCAGAGAATTCGTGGATTGAACACACGTTGTTTTTAAATTATTTGAAAGTAAATCTTTCGTTAATTTCCATAAGAGAACTTGGTATTGGGTTGGAAGATGGGTCGGTGTTCTAGGTTTAACTTGTTGAGTGGCACGTTTTCGATGGCTTCAGGTTAGAGGTACCATTACGATAAGGATAAATGAAGTGTCTAGGAACCGAGTCTTACCGAAAAGTCAATGGGGACCTCTCTTACAGGTCTAAGGTGCTTGCGAAAACGATCACCCAGTCTGCGGATAGTTTTTTCCAATATATAGTTTATGACACCTGTTACACTGGATGTAGCATATGACACATTCTAACGTGCAGGTGGAACTCATCAACGTACCTGTTCGTATGTTTCCAACAACACTATAATAATTATAACCCTAGTTCTACATTTCACTGTAGGGGGGCATTACACCTGCACGTCAGAATGTGTCATGTACTGTATATTATATCCCTTCAACAATTCTTTTTTAGTCTAGTTTCTATGTTATGCGGTGTTAATTGCCTCACAGGTGGCGCCTGTCCGAAACGTTGCATAAAAACAAATAAAATGTTTAATTTAGACGTGTATTACCTTTTATAAAGTACATTCCCCTGTTGAGTTACAGCATTCAACCCACCTGAACAAAATCGTTTGTCGGATTGGAATTCCACACAGCATTCATTATTCCAAAGTTCCGAAGATCTTGTCTCAGCTCCTAGAAAACAGACGTACAGCAATAAAATAAGCAATCACATAGATGTAGTCGTCGGAGAGGGAGGCCGGAACCCCCCCTCCTCAAGCCCCAGAGACTTGATTCAGAATTTACGTAACAATTTCAAACGTGTCAAAGAAGTTTGTTTCAAAAAGTATCAGACTCCTTGGTATTATTTTGTAAATGATGAATAGTTTGATGTCATCTTTAGCGATTTTGTTTCTTTGCAACATAAATCCTTAGATTATTTGATCCCCCAGCCCTCCCACTCCCGTTTCTCTCCGAAAACGTTTTTCCCGATGACGTCACTGCACATTTATCATTGGATTCTAACAAAGAAAAAAATAACAACTGTAATTAAATACAAACTTATCGTTATTTGTTACGTTGCCGTACAACTTACTTACCAATTATAATTCGTTTGGAACTTAAGCCTAAACGGCCCACTGTAAAGCGAAAGAACGCTTCTACAACAAGATTTTCAGTGATTGAAGTCATTTTGGAGCATCAAAATTGAACAGAGTGACAAAATAAGCCTAGAAAAAGTGGTCAGTGTTTGGGAATTTTATCACTACTTTAAGCTAGTTTCCCGTGGAAGTTAGTGTTGAGGGATTAAATTAATCCAGTTAAATCCAAATCTAAGTCGACTTGAAGTCTCTTCTCACCTAACACTATCAACTTGTTTACATGCTATACTGGTGGAATCAAAGTAATATATTACGTTCAATAACTTTACATTTGTGTCTTTTACAACACCGATCGTAAAGAGTAAACCGAACGAACTGGATGTAACGGCTGCTATTTATCGTGTATAATTCGAGGTGTTTGTTTTGTTCATTTTTATTTGACTTATTTCTTTCTAAGTAAATGTTTGATCATCCACAGGGGAGGGGTGGGTGGATGGATAGATGGATGGGGAGAGCATTAATCACAAAGAGGTACACTAAAGTTCGGGATGAGTTAACCCTAGAGTTTGTTGATTCTTCATTACCTGATTGCTTGCTTGATATTTTGTGATTGTACGTCAAGTTTATGTGATTTTCGTATGGTTAAAACCAGTCGTAAAAATTTACAGCACAAAACATAAACTGTATAAAGTTTATGTGATTTTCGTATGGTTAAAACCAGTCGTAAAATTTACAGCACAAAACACAAACTGTATAAAGTTTATGTGATTTTCGTATGGCTAAAACCAGTCGAAAAATTTACAAAACAAAACACAAACTGAAAAGATGAAAAAACTTAAAGCAGACGTTTATCTTGCTTTTTTATCTTACCACGTGATACTGTTTTCAGGCCCAAACACTCCCAACTCTAGAAATGAACCAGCTTTACTGGAAGAATCTCTGCCCAACGAAGAGGTAAGGTAAACATTTTTCAAATTTGATGTACCAGTTTTCTATATAATATTTAAATATAATTATGCAAGATAATAGACTAAAGTGTTTACTCATTGTTCTAGGAAAGCTATAAATAATTAGAAAAAGAAGGGGGGGGACTGTTCACAGCCTGTTTACCTCCTTGGTCAAGTGTATAAAAATCCCCTTCGCGAATCTCCACAAACATCACAAAACATAACACTTACGTACTTCAGTAAACCAAACATAACACTTACGTACTTCAGTAAACCAAACATAACACTTACGTACTTCAGTAAACTA